TCAAGCGATCTTTCACTCTGTATATTTGTTAACTTGTAAATACGCTTACTGTATTAGCAAGCAGGTTAATCTGCGATTGTTTAGATGTCCAATGTCAACGTATTTCCGAAGATGCGCATTGCTGCGTAATTATGTGTTTTATAATTTTACACGATAATTTTCTAATTAATTACGTTTTAATTTCTACGTCTTTTGACTTCGGCTCATTGAACTATATTTGTATTTATAGAAATATGCATATGTTCCAATTTATAATATTTTATGCGTATTACAGTTATTTATATTTTATAAAGAATTATTTCAATTACTTCATTCATTTCAATTATATTTATACAATTTATGTTAATTTATGATTATATACATGTACCGAATAATCTTTCGAGAAATAACGATTGAGCGAATGAATAAATGTCCCACTATGGGCATGTATAACGATTTCAATTTATCATCCTAACGAAATTAAAATTGTAACAAATTGACCGTCAATTGATTGAATTTATTATCCAAGGAATATATCGTTTGTGAGATTTGTTTCACGCTGTGTTTGTCTCACTTTGCTGTCGTCTACATTTTCCACTACCCATATTATGTAAACCCTGTGAATTCCATCCTTTCGCTGCACCTCGTTTTGTTACCATCGCGCATACAAGACAATCATTCTTTATGTATGTTATATTATCATGTCAAATCGCACCGCGTAGAATCGTCTTACGTTGATACATTTTATCTTATCGTATTACACGAATTAATATCGTCAGTGGATGACTGTGTATATTTGTGGCATATGATAATTTGTACTTATCACACGTATCGTTTATCATGAAACCGATGGACCATTGAACAAATTTTGCTCGTAATATAGATATCACTTTCTAAAAAGACAAACCGAATGATATTAGCTTATTAACATGTATAACATATTATTTGCATTTACGAGAAAATTATGCCGTCCTGACACTCAAAATTGTTACGTAAAAATCCAGTAGTAATGATAATCATAATTTCAATTATTAGCATAGTTATTTAAATTACTTGTATATTTAAATTACTTGTATATTGTATTATCTGATATTTATTGATTATTTGCTGGTTTATCCGATAACTATTTTAATAAACTCCATTACGATAAAAATATCAAGGCATATATATGTATAAGGGGAATATATTTAAATATATATCAAAGAATAATAAATAAAGTTGTACATTTAGAAGTATTTTCTGTTGCATCTCATATGAGTAAAGCACGTATAAAAATAATTTAAATTTAAGAATTAAATTTATTTGTCATATTTTAACGTTTAACGCAAATCTCGAATATTTCGTAACTAAACGACAGTTCTATTCGTAAGCAAACGTTACTCAGATTGAAATAAAGGTTATTTTAATTAAGGATGATGAAACAACTCGCGTTGTTGGTATTTACGATCATACTTACGATCGTGCCCCATTATCCGTCGATTATTATTTTATCATTTCAGTTAATCGCAATTCTGCCAATTCTTTACATTGAAAAGTTTCGTGGATCAATACGTTCATTAATTATACGCGGAACGAAACGGGTTATGGTGCTTCTGGTTGGGGCGATCGTTCAGCGAACGCTGAATAATTTATGTGTATATACTACGCATCACAACATCGATACATTTAATGGTCGATTGAAACTTAATTATGAGAAGCCACGAAGGAAGATTGCTCGGTACAGCGTATTTTACTATATGAAACCCCAAGGGGCAAAGCTAGATAATTGTTCTCTCCAAGAAATTATCTGGCCAAGACTGCGCGCTTATTTTATTGTCTCTCTCTCTCTCTCTCTCTCTCTCTCTCTCTCTCTCTCTCTCTCTCTCTCTCTCTCTCTCTCTCTCTCTCTCTCTCTCTCTCGTACTCATCTTTACTTTTATATAGTTTTTATTAAATAGTCTGCACCAGCGAACAATTGAAAAGAAAATTTTCTCCTATATATATAAGATAATTAAATTTGCAAAAATTTTGAGGAAACATTAAATTTTCTTTCTAAGATCGTCCGAAACTTCATGACGAGCTTTTTGAGTTTGCATCAATATGCATCACTTAGGGAAACTTTCAATCTAGTTTACAGTGTCATCTAATTTCTGATCTGATTATCCACTTATTACAAACTAACGCTTTCATGGAAAATGAACTCGGCTTCCTCTTTCAAGTTCTCAAAATTAATGTTGCAACATTATCATATTGCATTACGCATCTATCTTTCTTTCTGCTATATCATAATAGCGTTATGCAATATAAAGGAGGATTATATATACATACAATACATACCGGCTTATCTACGGTAACATATATGCTGTCGTGCGACTAACCGAATTGATAACGGGGCGAGTGGCACAGTTCTGCGTTACACCGTTGGGAAATGTAAACACGCGAATTATTCTGTGTAAATCTAATCTAATTACGGCACATCCGGGCGATACGCACACCGTGCGCGAAACGTACGTGTCGTTAGCAATTTGAAATTTCCATACGAACTCGTTACGGGGATCTCGGATTCCGCCGCGGAGTTCGCAATCAGGCCGCGGAGCGGAAATTATTTTCTGTTTGGCTCAATCCCTCGCGAAGGTCGCATGATGAGAGTGTTAATTACAGTGCAAATCCTAAGCCGCGATGTAACATCGAAATTTTAGATTGGATATTGTTAAAAAGAGCGTATTTTGCAAGAAACTTGCGGTGACGAAGTGATCGCACGTGTAGATTGTGCAATTTGCATTTTTCTGTAATTATCCGCGTCATGGTATATGATTTTATGTCGCTGACGCTCTTCATCCTTGATCCTTGTCAGATGCTAACAATTTGCTCTTATCTTTCATATCCTACTTGATTCTTCCGTTATTCTTTTAAATCATAATGGCTTTTATCTATATTTTTAGTTATGTTAGTAGTTTAGATATGTTTAGTACCGTTAAACACATAAAGGATTAATTTCAATAGAAATAGATATTTTGCTATTAAATTAATTTAATAAAGATAAAAATATTATACTTTGATATTTTTATTTTATCAATATTTATGAATTATTCATACAATTTAAGGAGAAAAAAAATTTATATTTTTATCTATTTTTGCAAATAATTGAATCAGCATGTTGAGAAATAATGTTAAGCTTTGTTTTATTTATTATTTTTATGTAAAGTATTGATATTATTTTGCGAATATATTTAGCATCTTTATCTCTTCTTCCGTTTTTTTTGTATGCCTAATGAATCACGTAATAGCGTGCTAATCATGTAATGGCGTGAATGTATTGGTCTTTCAGATCCACCATCACTGCATCGCAATCATAGTTGGATTATAGTTTACGATGCTTTGTGATTAGATATCACGATATTTTGCTCGTATTTATCATTTGACATACATATGCGATGTATTTTGTTTTGTCATGATTTCATCGCAATCAATCTCACACACGATCGAGATAATATATAAGCGAGCTGACATGTGCTTATATATAATGTGTGTGTGTGTGTGTGTGTGTGTGTGTGTGTGTGTGTGTGTGTGTGTGTGTGTGTGAGCAGGATATTCTAGTTTCCTAATACTTAAACGTTACTATGGTATTTGTATTTATTTTGTAGTTGTCTTATTTTTTTCTTTTTTTTTTTTTTTTTTTTTTTTTAGTTCTAAAATGTAAAAGTAGCTTTCGCGTTAACGAATTTTGCAATATGAGAGATTGGATAATGGATTTGTCGAGATCTCATTCTTCATACAACATTGCCGAGTACATTTTGTAAAATTCCGTTATTTTAGGTTTGTATCGATTTTGTGCGACCGGTACTGATTGAGGCTATTTAATCATTCCTCTTTGTACCTTTAGCCGTAATATACATAAATAATAATGCCGGTACAGAAAGAAGATTTTATGAATAATGGTGAACGCTAATGGAACGCTCGTCTATTCAATTAAGGCTTTTACTATGTGGCTTTACTATGTAATTCGTGTTGCTGCATTATGCTTCTTAAATATCCAACTCTTAGCTAAAGCATCACATTTTATCGCAGTTAACCGGTTAAAACACGACTTGTCTGATAAATTGTCTTTTCGAGCAAACATTTCTTTTACCGATATCAAGGTTATCTCTGCTTTTTTTTGTTGCATCTGTTGTGACTAATTATTATTACTGTCGTAATTAAGTATTCATAAATAAATCCAGCAAAATAATAATCTCATGATTTGGCCAAGTTAAAAGTATGCAAGACCGAAAGTGGTGATAATAATAATAATAATTACTGTTATTTCAACAAGATTTTTTAACAATACGTGATATTAATTATTACTGCAATTGACAGAAATTACAAAATTTTTACTTGCGCGCTAAGGCACGTACAACCTTATGTTCTCGTAACTGAATCGAAATTGATATGATTCGTATCAGGTACAACTTTATCGATAATATTTACTGCATAATATTCATGTGGTCGATGTAATAATAAATCATCATTGCGACCGTTGCCGGTATACGCTTGAAAATGCATATTAAATGCACAGTTATTTATTTATCATACTATTCATCTATCATACAGAGGAAAGTTCTACGTAAAATGGTATTGTTTTGAAGCATTTTCTTAGCGAAACGCAATAATAAATTTCGCGATGTCCTGCGCCCATTATGCGAAGTATCATTTACGTTATAGCGATGCACATTGTTTATTCAAACAGAAACTGTAATCTAACGGTGCCGCGTTCATATGTCCGCTTTTGCTCTCTTAAACTAATGACCGACGGGAAAAATATGCCGTTAAGTATTCTCCCCCTTAACATCTATAAAATGTAATTACTTGCGAAATTAGGTCTTTCTGTACGCTGTCTGCGACTGCGACTCATATATGTACCGTTTTCACATACTGACTTCAACTTGCGCTTGTATATATTTCGACTTTTATATTTAAAATCGAATATGTGTGTATAGATTTCTATATATTTCTACGACACGTTCTCTCTTACATTAAAAATACTATCAACGCATTTACTATCAACGCATAATCATAGAGATCATCAAAAAATAGAAAAGATGAGATATCGCGTCTTTCAATAACTTTTATCTCTTGTCGATGAAAAGTCGCTCTCGAATATGTTTTACGTGTCGCTTTGCTTAGACAAGACAGAAAGAAAAACAGTATGTACTTTCGAAAAATTGCTTCACTTCATAGCTTTTCTTTCATCTTGTCTTTCGTTTGCGCACGTTTTCAAAAAAGATATATGTTCAGGCACTTTATCTTTTGTTTGTTATTTTTTATCAGTTAAGAATTACTTGGAATCTTTCAACGAGGCAAGAGAAAAGTAACGTTCCAAGTTTCCTAGGATATTTCTGATGTAACATAATGTCTTTCGTTAGCTCTCATTTATACATACAACTATAAAAGTAAATCTCACTAAAAATTTGTTTTTCTGTTCTCCCCATCTCTTAGATTAAATCATTTCTTTTACACGCATCTTCAATCAAACGTAGAAAATGATAGTTCCTTAACGTTTCTAAAATTGCACTCAAAATCTCTTTCACAGTACGCCTTTGATTCACAAATGGATTCACAATTTTTCAGCCATCTATCTCTCCTTTCTTCTTTTATTTTCTCAATTAAGAATTAATCTCAATTCCTCATCCTCATTCAGATTGGGCGATTTTCACAGATGCCTTCGTGATTAACTTCACAGATGCCTTCGGGATTAACTTCAGCCGGCGACAGCTATCGTCCACAGCTGGTTCACCATCGCCTATTCCTCAATTATGGAATTTTCCCTTGATATCCATGACTCGGCATTTCATCTATGAGCTCTGGAAATTTTTATGATGAGATTCGTTCGAAGTAGTTCCAGTGATCCTCATTCGCCCCTTAAACATAACCGTCAGCTTCTAATTTTAGGGCAGCTTCGTAGGAGGGTAGACCTTGATCATCCCTCGGGATATTCTCCCGCTTGTTGATCCTGTTGGCCTCCGATTCGGTTGGCAGGTTGTTTATCGGGAGTGAGATAATACTGCCGGGATCTTCAGACTCGTCCTTCTTGTCGATCGGTGAGGGCAGTGCCCGATGGTCAAAGATGAGACTCTCGTAGGCCGGTGGAGGGCCCGAGGTCACGGGACACGGCGGAAGAGACGCGGGCACTCCCTCTTCCTGATGGATTTGAGACGTCGCCGATCTCTCGATGCACTGTTGAAGAGAGAAACGAAACTGTTAGAAATATAACAGTCAAAACACAAGGATAAAATGTATGAAAGGAGAAACGAATAATATAAAAATTCAAAACAGATAATACATTGATAATCCATAGGTAGGATTTTTCATGTTTATATCTGTGCTTTTTATATTTTAATTATAATAAATAGAGTAATCTTTGTTTATAATATTCTTTTTACTTATTTATCTATTGTCATTTTATTATATAATATTGATAATATTGTATTTTAATTCTCATTCTTTTTATCTCGGTATTATATTAGGTCTGAATTCGAGATGATCTCTAGGCTGAAGGTGCAAAGTATGCACATTGTCGCATTGCGGCGTACAATTCCAGCCGATGTTCTCGCGCTCGTGCTTTTACGTGTAACGCGAGGGCGTGGTTTCCGCGAGATATGCGAATTTTTATTTAATTGCGACCGCAACCACAAAGGTGAGCGACTGCGGGAGATTGCGTAAAAGGTCGGCGAGAACTAAGCGATTCGCGGTGCGCACATTGCGTCGAGTAGATGATATGATTTAAAAGTAATTTCATGTAATGAAATTCGCAGAATACCCTCAGATCTAACATAAAGTATTTTTGGAAGAGATGTTTTGGTAAACATGCGGGAGGTTTGAACAACGTGCAGCGAGATCTCATTATGAAAATTTTTAATACCGAAAATGTAAAGGATCTTTCCCTTGAATTATATATGAAGAATGTTGTATGTAAATGGATAATAAATCAACATATCTCTTTTGATAATTTTTTTGTCCAAATTTTATATAGTCAAATTTAAAATTTATTTTATTTTAATCTTTCGTTAACAGGTATGAAATTTGTGATATAAAAACGTAATTGTTATTAAAATGGAACATTATAAAATTAATA